GCCTGGCATGTTATATAGCCAATAAACATCTGTTGAACAAATTTGTGAAATAATGAATTAGAAGCATAGATAGGGGTGCTCTATGAACATTTTTTTTAAAGGTTTTTTTTTTTTAAATTGGGGAATTGGGGGATGGGAACAGCGCTGGGGAATTGGGGAAGGGGAACAGACAAGTTGCTGTCCTTTTGTTCTTCAGTCTAGTTGTGGAGGACGTTGCTTCACTGGCCCAAGTTGGCACCATCATTGCGCTCTTCCTGGGCGAGGCAGATCAGTTGCTGGCTTCTGGACGGCAGCTCACGGCGGCTTCTGGCCGCTCATGCTGGCTGCTGGCCACACATGGTAGCCCATGGGAACCCACTGCAGCAGGGGCTGCAGCCTACGCCGTCAAGCTCCAGGTCGAGCTGTTGTTCAGCATCTTAGCTATAGAAGGCAGTGTCACTGGCCCTCATATGTGGGAGCCGAACCGGGACCCTCTGGCGTCCCAAGCCAGCTCTTAACTAACGCCCCCTCAGCCGGCCCTCTATGAACATTTTTAATGATTGGTTTTGTTGTAGTGGCTGATGGTGGTAGGGCAATGAGGTGATGGGGGTCCTGATTTCAACAGCTTATTTGAAATTTGACTCATCTCTTTTTCACAGCTTAACTATAGAAAAAGTGTTTATGTGAACTTCAGTTTTTCTAGGAAAATAATACAGTTCTATTATTAAAAGTATGTACTTGCTAAAGGACTTATAATTCAAGGGAGTTCTTAAAAATTACAAGTAGCCTGGAAAATTTATTATCCAAAATTATATACTAGTGAATGTGTATATATTTAAATGCCAGTAGCTGAGACCTCTGCTACTGATTGACTCTGCTATAAAGATGCTTCATGTGTGTTAATAGGGGCTGAGGTGCATAGCTCAGGGTCACCATCTTGTCTGAACAAGGCCAGGGATACTGACAGGAACACTCAATCCTTCCAGAAGAAACTAGATCTCCTGATGACAAAACTCACTCAAATGCTTGTTTCAAATGGTTCTGTTCCATCATAGCTGGAGGAATTTTTCAGACAAAACATTAAATTAGAAGTCAATTAAAGAAAGCCAAAACAGTCTGACCGCCTTTACTCCTGTCTTAATGTGGGATTTAGAATGACTAAGGGACTGCAAGTAGTGTGTGGGTCCTCAGATTCTCAACATCTCAACTCCCTGTGACAGTTAGCTGACCCTTGAAAAATCTTGAGCATGAACAGCCATCTTTCATCTTAAGAAAGAACTTTAGAACACGAATTCTTAAGAGGAAAAAGGAAAGGCTTTAGACAGAATAATTTTAGCAGGTGGAATCAGAGGGCTCCTAATCATATAAAGACTCTAGGGTGGAATTGCTATAGGTTTAATTCACTGTGTGTGTGTGTGTGCCGGCCACATCAATTTAAAAAATGACATTTTTTTCTTTATTTTCTTGGACGCTCTCAGAGGAAAAAAAATAGGTTAGATAATGTAGTATACTTAAACCTGTCAAAATTGAATAAAGCAATCACTGCTTCTCTATTTCAGGAAAGTGAAGTTTTGTGAAACGGGGGTAGAAGTCAGGTCAAGGTGCAATGTATTACATATTTAAAAAATGGTTTTCAAATGCATTTTAACAAAAATATCTGAAGCAGGGTAAATGTACCTGCTACTTTTTAAAATGAACCCTTACACCCCCCCCCCTTTTTTTAAATGCTTATCCTTTATGTAGCAGAAAACATTCCAGATGGCTGTAACTTTTATTTTAAAATAATACATTGGGATTATCTAATTAAATGAAAGAACATCCCAGTCCTTTTAAAGATAAGCAGCTATAAGACAAATCTTCATTTGACTTACAAGAAAGTCTTTTTTTAATAAAAAAACAAAACAAAATAAGAGCAATAAATGTGTGCTCTTCTAAAGTGATGTCAGCATAGGCCTAAACAAATGGGTAGATTACGAGGAGATGAGAGAAAGCCATAGGTGGTGGTTCTTTAAAACACCTACTTCCATACTTACCTGGCAGGGGAGATACCATGATTGTAAAAAACCTACTTCCAGCCTACTAGAGATCAAATCCCGGGAACCACCAGTGGACTTGTGGGAGCTTTAGATATATAGTTTCCTATCCCCCAAATAGTTTTGTTGATTGAATTACACTTGAACGTAAATAAACTTGGGTAAATTGTCATATGAGGTCGGACAATTAAGATTGCAAACTTATCCTAGAAAAAGTGCTACGTACCTCAATGCTGAATATCACTATGGTCACCTTCAAGGTACTCCCCTTGGGAAGCTATGCACTGATGATAGTGCCTAGTCCAACCCTTTGAAGCAATTTGGAACTCTTTTTCTGGAATGGCCATCAGAGCTGTCATGGTATTACACTTGATGTCCTGAATGTCATCAGAATGTCTTCCTTTCAATATTTTCTGGTAAAGAAAGAAGTCATTGGGGACCAGATCAGGTGAGTCAGGAGGGTGTTCCAGTACAAATATTCGTTTACTGGCTAGAAATTCTCTCACAGAGAGTGCTGTGTGAGCTGGTGCATTGTCATGATGCAAGAGCCATGAATTGTTGGTGAAAAGTTCAGGTCGTTTTTTTCATGCAGCCTTTTCAGCACTTATAATAATAAACTTGTTTAACTATTTGTTCAGTTGGTACAAATTCATAATGAATAATCCCTCAGATATCAAAAAAGATTAGAAACATTGTTGCAACGAGTTTGCGAAGTTAATTGTCAGGTCCCCTACATAAGGTAAATATGCTGTTGGAAATGCTCTTAAATTGATTGTCTTCTGCTATTGCCAGTACTTGGCACAAGCCAAAAACTCTGTGTGGCCACATCGAGAGACCTGCATGGATTGCTTTGCAGTGTTAGACCTTCAAATTATAGTGTTGTGATCTGTACTGAAAAGAAAAGTTTTTCAGCATTATTAGAAAAAGCAAGGACTTTTAATTCCAGTATAGAACCTCTTGGTCTAATATAGAAAATATATCATATACAGCATCTCTTCAAATAATGCCATTGTGTTATAACAATGAAGAGGAAAAAAATATTGATTCCCGGCCGGGCCCATTGTCTGTGTAGAGTTTGAACATTCTCCCCATGCCTGCGTGGGTTTCCGCAGGGACTGCGGTTTCCTCCCACATCCCAAAGATGTGCACATGAGGTGAACGGGCGTGTCTACATTGTCCCCGTCTGAGTGTGGGTGTGGATGTGACTGTGCCCTGAGATGGAAGGGTGTCCTGTCCAGGGTGCCCTTAGCCTCGTGCCCTTAGCTGCTGGGATGGGTTCTGGCCACCCTCAACCCTAAACTGGAATAAGCACATTGGAAACGAATTCTCTTACTTGTTTTTATTAATCTTCAATGTCTGTGTAGCTCACATTTCTTTCCATGTTTAATATTAGGAGTGTTTTGGGTCTTTACTTAGAAGCGTGGTGATGTTTTTCTAATGAAATATGCCATAGGAACTTAACTCTTGTTTATGTCAATAAGCCTTTGGTAAAATTCGTTTCGTTATGCATCCTTTTGCTTAAATTTGCATTGTCCAAGAACCTATTGATGATGTTAAGTAAGGACTTACTATATATGTATTTAGTGTTTTTAAATATAGGCATCAAAAACATTTGGTATTTCTAAGCACAGGAATTCTATGCAAATGGTGCTCCCTGAAATATAGGAATTTTAATACTTGGAGGGTTATGGACTCTTGTGTTTGACGAAAGGTATAGATCTTTTCCCTAGAAAAATACTTTGATTCTCACCATAACCCTATATATGTAAGAGCTATGGCTATAAGGAGCTTAAAGCTAAGATCTCAATTGACAGCATTGGTATTTGATTGAATGTCTGTCTGACTCCATGCAGAAGCTCTTCTCCCATACCATATTCCTTCAATTTCTTCACTTTCCTCAACTAAGCCTCTTTAGAGTGTGCATTGGCCTGCTTTGTCACCTCATCTCTTGTTCCTGCTCCCATGCATCCTAAGTGGAAGTCACACTGAATTACTTACTGTAGTGTCATGCTGACCTATGAACACACTGTTCCCACTCCGCTCCCTGAAAATCCTTTCTCATATCACCTGCCTCGCTAGTCACCCCCATCCTCTTAGATTCCCTTCCTCTGTGCTATCATTGTACCCTCTGCATACCTCTGTCATATTTCCATTTATCAAGCTGCACTGTGTATGTCTGCTTGTCTGCTTTGTCTACTCTTCCATGAGCATTTCAAAGACAGAGAGAGAGAGAGAGAGAGAGAGAGAGAGAGAGAGAGAGAGAGAGAGAGAGAGAGAGAGAGAGAGAGAGAGAGAGANGAGAGAAAGAGAGAGAAAGAGAAAGGGAGGGAGATACATAGCTAGATATCTGGCTGAAGTGTTGCTAGTGACTCCAAAAAGTAATTTTTTCTTCAAATATACTCTCCTGTATCACTGTGTGAAGATGTATTTTTTCCTAAAGAACTCTAACACATGCAATATTAATAGGGCCATATGCTACCCCTCTCTCAGCACCATGAATCACGCTGATAACACTGAAAAAGTATCATTGTTTCAAAGGAATAATATGACCCCATTTTTCTGAACATGAGTTCATGTTTTTTAGACAATGTTTTCTTAGTAATATATTTCTATTTATTTTCTTGACGGGTTATGATGTGAAAAAAACATGTTAAAAATTAATTTTTTATCTACAAATTTTTAAGTAATTTAAAAACAGTCACAAAATTAAATATATTAATTTCTGTTGTCATTTTTTATGCATTGATATTATTTCATTAAGTACATAGTAAACAGAAATCATAATTACAAAGATGAATAAAATAGGCATATAGAAACAAAAATAGTAATTTTAAAGCAACTTTATAAGAAGCAAATATTTCTTTATAAAAGAATGTAGTAGGAGGGCAGGGGTTGAAGGAATTCTTGGTGTTTTGTTATAGTACAAGACCTCATTTTATTACATGCTGAAAATATTATTACTGCTTAAATTTCTTTTTTTTCCCCTAGGCCAAATTTACAGATGACTGCAAGTTCAGGGAGCGATTTCAAGAAAACAGCTATAATACTTATGCCTCAGCAATACACAGAACTGAAAAAACGGGAAGGGAGTGGTACGTGGCCCTGAACAAAAGAGGGAAAGCTAAACGAGGCTGCAGCCCCCGGGTGAAACCCCAGCACATCTCTACCCACTTCCTGCCGAGGTTCAAGCAGTCGGAGCAGCCAGAACTTTCTTTCACAGTTACTGTTCCTGAGAAGAAAAAGCCACCTAATCCTGTCAAGCCAAAGGTTCCTCTTTCCGCACCCAGGAGAAGTCCCAACACAGTGAAGTACAGACTCAAGTTTCGTTTTGGATAATGTCCATCTTGGCCTTGTGAGAAGCCACACTTTCTCCTCAGGAGTTTCTATGGGTGTCTTTACAGCTCTGAAGAAAAACTTTGGACACAGCTTCAGCTGTACTACCCTGTAATTAAGTCAGGTCATTTGTTTCAGTTTGACTGAAACAAAAATCTTTTCTGATAGGAACTGAACTGGAATTCTTTGTCCTAATGTAGTGAGCACACTGCTTCAGTTGAGTAAGACATAAAGCCTTTTGCTTTATGCTTAGTGCATACTAGGACTCTATTTTCAAAAAGTTAAACAGCGTGGACTATGTATTTTTCTGACTTTTGCAGATCAACCTGAAAGAACATACATGATACATTTTTATTTTTGGTTTCTAAAGAATATTTTGATGCAGATAAAATATTTTATTAACTTTTTGGGTTGTTTTTTTTTTTTAAAGTACCTCTGCATTGAGCATATTTTCTTACTTTTATTATTTTAATTAATATGACAACCATTTTAATGCAGTTTGTGAATTATAAATGTGTTTATAGCCCATTTGTAACATGTGGATTTCTTTTTCATTTTTTTTTTATTCATTGCACTTTTTATTTTTATTATATATTTTTTACCATACCTCAGATAATGTAAGTTTGGTTCTACATCTTAAACTGTTTAAATTCTCTTCAACACACCAAAGGCTCAGCTTGGATTTGTGTGTGTGTGTGTGTGTGTGTGTGTGTGTGTGTGTGTGTATGTAAATTCATGACTTTATATGGAATCCTACCCCTTGGGTGGCTGGGTTAGAATGGGTTAGAAGTAAGGAGAAAATATAAGGACTTTTAATGGAATTAAAAGTTGGAGATAAGGAAGAAGATTAGAGGTATAAGTACACTAAGTTTGTAGCATTTCTTGAGATCTAATTCTGCCTTGCTTTCTTTTCTCCTATTATCTACCCCCTGCCCTCATTCTTGAACAGCTGGGTGAAAACTTTGTATTCTGTCTGTCAAGCATATACTATGAAACCAGAGTACTTAAAATACCTCTTCTATGACCCTCTGTTATCCCTACTCTGTAGATCCACGGGGTGCAATCCGCTTACTGGAAAAACATGGAGTACTGAAGGAGATGAATTGTGTAACAGTTATCCATGTCGAGTCCCATTGTCAAAAATATTCTTATTATTCAGTAGAACACCCTTTGAGTTTCCTATCCTAATGGAAGCCATTCCAGTGAATAGATCTGACCTTTTATAAAGGAACTTTTTGATGTATATTTTTAAAAAGCTGGCCAGGAGATATGGGAAACTTAATTTGGAAATTTGATGAGTTGAAAATGACATTTAATTGTCCAGCCAAATACTGAATGTTGGGCATATATCACAGAAAATTTTACTTAAGAGGATTTATATGATTTATTTTCTTAGGTAATCATTTTTATGGAGCTCTATGAAATACAAGTATTTATTTTCAGAAATGCGGCAATGAAAAAGGTATAGCTAATGTTTAGAAGTATGTTTTTCGCAGGAAAAGCAAAAGAGTTCACAGAAAGTCTGTGGTTTCTATATAAGCATGTTTCTTTTCTTTTAGAGACTACCAATAAACTTTTTTTTTTAAAAAGTAGTTTATTTAGGTGCTCAAATGTAAAGTGGAAACTTGTCAAAATTGAACTTACTATCACTAAAGTAAATTGCTTTGTTTTAATGGAAACAAACTATACACATATATGCAATATATATATATATATATATATATATATATATATATATATATATAAAATTATATGCAAAATCCATCCATCAATTAAAACATCATGCATGTACTCTAGTATAGTGTTTTATTATAAAGCCAATAACCTGATTAAACATTCTCTGCATTTAATGTATGATTTTTAAAACTATAAAATGAAATGCTTGTAGCTTTTGAAACTTGACAAGTTTCAAACTTGTCAAGTTTCAAACTTTGTATTAAAATTCTCCTGGGTTAAATTAAACAATAGAATTTTGCAAACAAAGATATGTCCAACTCTTATCCAACTGGCATATCATCTTATATGCACAAAAGTAATCCTCCTGTTTATTCTAATATATTGTTAAGAATTGTGCACTGTATATCAAGTTCCTAGTATGCATGAAAAATTAAAGTTGTAAAGCAGGAAAATAGTAGACATGTGTTCCTAAATGGGCAAGAAAAAGATGATATTAATGATGATTAACAACAAGCTAAATTAATGCATATATTGTATTAGGCTAATGCTGCTGGTAGTTTATGTTAACTAAAAAATAATAGCTTATCTTGTACTCCTCTTTGATTTGATTAGTACATGAAGGTTAAAGTAGGATAGTTACCAAATATATATTATGCAAGTCAGAACTCATTAATTTCAAAATTTAAAGCCAAGCTAAAATTAAAAAAAACAACAACCCTTTAAATTACACTTATCTTTAGTTTACTGGCCATACACAATTGCATTTAATTAAAGCTCACTGAAGCATAAAGTTACCTAAATTAATTAATTGAATGAACTTACCATGTACAGAAAACATGTACAAATGTAACTCCTTACTAATACCTAGAACTGTCTAAGAAGGTTTTTGCTTATGTAGTTTTTGATGATTTTTAAAGTAACTGGACCCGTTTAACATCAAACGAAGTTGTTTAATTGTGATTATGTTCATCTAAAAATGTCAGTTAATTTTACATTAAATTTTAAGAGCCTAATTTATCTAGAAGATAGGTGACAAACACTCTCAGACTGATGTTTCAGTTTAATTATATCATTTAATTTAACTTAAGATATTAATTTTTTGGAACATCAGTAGAGGTAAATCGAGGTTTCCAATAAGATGTAATAATGCTGATATTTATTTCACAAACTATTGGGTTGTTGGAAAAGTCATGACGTATTTTTTCTATGTTTTTCGTTGCAAAAATGTGTCATGACTTTTCTGACAACCCAATGTGCCATCACTTCCTTCTAAAGAAACTGACTTGAGAGTGTGGATGTATATAAATTACCTTAATTCTTTTAGCTGAGTTATAGAAGCCCAGCAGTTCAAATTTATGTGATGATAACAGATAATATTAACAAAAGTTATTTCCAAATTTAATAATTATATCATCTTAGATGCTTATATTTCATGTAACTAAAAATAAAACACCATAAACCTGGCAGGTAAATTTTCTATAATATTGGTTTTGAAATAGAAAACGGAACAGTTTTCTTATATTAACATTTCCCTTCCAAAAGAGAGAGGAACTAAGCCATGACTTTCCACATTTTCAATAACAAAATGAAAATATTACACTAAACTTGAGTTCTGGCACCATTTGTACAGTTGCAGAAAATTGCTTGTACAGTTAATTTTAAAAATAAAAAACAGTACTGTAGACATCGCTGCAGTGGGAAGCAAATATAACTTGTCAAAGGATATCTACACCTTTTTAAAGATCTACTTCATTGCTACATTTAAATTTTGATCATGTGAAATCTATTTTAAGCCAAGTGATCTTTGAAAACATTTCGAAGGAAACTTTTAGATAAATGAACATGACTCTTTTTTTTTTTTTTTTTAAGAAGTCAGCCCAATGGTACTGGCCAGTTTTTGAAATAAAATTATCACATGATTAATCGAAGGAAAGAGTTACCTCCTCCATTTTACGCTCTGGTAGAAAAGGGTGGAGAACCCAGTCTGAGCTGAGTCAGTGGAGGCATTTTTACATCCAAAAATCATGTACAGCGTTCACACATACCATCAGACAACTGAGGTACAACTTATCCATCAGTATTTAAGCAATTTTATGTAATAAAAATACTAGATTAGAAATCGAAAGCTCTTACATACATTCTATTTTATTGTCTTCTGTCCTGACTCTGATTTAATTATCACAAGTCACTTCAAAGGCCTTGTTTTGTCCTCTACCAAATGATCTCTAATGTCATTTTCAACTTTGTCATCAATGATTGCATGAATCTTAAAATGTTGAGGTACTCCAAAAAAGACATAGTTCCTCTTCAGGTGAAACTGGACAACCACATGAAAAAACAATGTCAATGTAGTAATAGACATAGATATTTTTAAAGCCTTATCTTAGATTTTTAAAAAAATAGGTAATTATGAAATTAGATCAAGAGACTTAAAAATTGGGGATCAATTTTGGGCTTAGCATTGTATGAGGGACTTTGCATATTTGAATTAATCCAAAGAGGGATGGTCAGAGTAGTATCATTGTTAATAAATAGCTCTAGAACCTTAATTAAACATGTAATTTTTGAACATCTCTGTTTTGAATGATGTTTCACTTCCTTCATGAAGCCTTCATGAAATTCATGAAGAAATCAGTAATCTCATCTTGACACTACTTCGAATAAGTATGGTTCATAACTTTCCATCACCATTCCCTTACTTTCCCAATAATTCAGTATTTTCTGAGATTATGCTTTTCACAAGGCACTCAGCTAGTGAAACACTCCTTTATTTGCTCAGTACTTATTCAGTGTGTTCTTGTGGATGCTAACATCAACGTACTCTCAGATTTTGACCTTGTGGAGAAAAGATAGCTGCTCTCAGTGCACATTGCTCAAACCATGGCCAGGCTAATAAAAGAAACTTATGAAATGGTCTTAGCTGATAGCAATTTTGAATGATGTGTTCCTCTGACTTAAACACCTTTTGGATATTCTAATTTACAGAACTGGGTATATAATTATACTTATAGGTCCTGGAATATATTAGGTGTTCAAAAATGCTTATAGGATGGATATAGGTGTTGAATAAGATTTGTTTGATGAAGATGATGAATATGGTTAAGAGAATTTTATGTGAGATATGAAATCGTTCTTCTGACAAGAGTAAATACACTGGCTAACCCTCTCATTGTACTTGGACTTCTCAAATGCAGACCCTG